AAGTGAGTAGGGAGGAAGTGAGTACAAGCGGAAGTGAGTAGAAAGGGAGTACAAGCGGAAGTGAGTACAAGCGGAAGTGAGTAGGGAGGAAGTGAGTAGAAGTGGAAGTGAGTACAGCGGAAGTGAGTAGGGAGGAAGTGAGTACAAGCGGAAGTGAGTAGGGAGGAAGTGAGTAGAAGTGGAAGTGAGTACAGTGGAAGTGAGTAGGGAGGAAGTGAGTAGAAGTGGAAGTGAGTAGGGAGAAAGTGAGTACAAGCGAAAGTGAGTAGAAAGGAAGTGAGTAGGAAGGAAGTGAGTACAGCGGAAGTGAGTAGGGAGGAAGTGAGTACAAGCGGAAGTGAGTACAAGCGGAAGTGAGTAGGGAGGAAGTGAGTAGAAGTGGAAGTGAGTACAAGCGGAAGTGAGTAGGGAGGAAGTGAGTACAAGCGGAAGTGAGTACAAGCGGAAGTGAGTAGGGAGGAAGTGAGTAGAAGTGGAAGTGAGTACAGTGGAAGTGAGTAGGGAGGAAGTGAGTAGAAGTGGAAGTGAGTACAGTGGAAGTGAGTAGGGAGGAAGTTAGTAGAAGTGGACAAGAGGAAGAGAGCGGAAGTGAGTACAACGGAAGTGAGCACAGGCAGGAGAGCGCACGGCGCCCATGATGTGGTGCCAGCAGGTGGGTGGCGCTGGCCAAGCTGTGGGGAGATGCCCACTTGAGGGGCCGGACCCTGGGCAGGTGGAGGGAGGAGGGTCCTGCCCCAGCCAACCTGTGTGTGGCCCGAGGAACCCCAGTACTGAGGGTGGGGTCCCATGCTTTGAGGTAAGGACCCCCTACTGCGGGGTGGGGACCCCCACTGAGTGCTGGGGACCCCCACCGCGGGGTGGAGCCCCAGTGCCTGCCCAGGCCCAGGGGGCAGAGGGGCTGCCCAGCTGTGGCACTGTTGGCAGCTTCGGGTGTGGGCCCAGCACCCCAGGGTGCGGCCAGAGCCCCTTGGGCTGGGGGAGCCCCAGGCCATGGCCGCGGCAGGGCGACCCAGTGGGTCTGGGGCTCCGAGGGTGTGTGGGGAGAGGGGCTTTGGCCCCGGGTACAGAAGCTCCCTGGGTCCAGGGCCTTGGAATGGAGGCTCTGGGCGCCCTCCCAGCCCAGTGCTCAGGGTGGGCCGGGTCACTGCTGCCAGCCAGCACCTTTGCCTTCTTCTGTGTCTCCTGCTCGGTTCCCTCCTCCGGGACAGCCAGACCCCCAGGGAGCCCCCGGGAGCTACAGGCAGACGTGGCCTCGGGAAGGATGACTCAGGACCTGCAGCCTGGGGTCCTGGGTTCCCCTCACTGGCTTCAGGGAGCGGAACATGGTTTGTGAACGGGGACAATCTGGCATGGGGCAGGGAGAGCCAGCCATGGAGGAGGGGTGGGCCCCACCTGAGCTGGAACCCACAGCCGGTGCTGGCTGGAGCGGGCGAGCACTGCTTACGGAGCCAGAACCTGCAGACAGTGCTGGCTGGAGCGGGCGAGCACTGCTTGCAGAGCCAGAACCCTCAGACTGTGCTGGCCGGAGCTAGCTAACACTAACTTAACTCTGTGCAGGCAAGGGGTGTCACGGCAGGATGGCTTGCCAAGGGGAAACGCTCCAAACAGAAGCCCCCCGAGCTCCCTCCTCCCTCCTGGCTTCTGAGGCTTTCATGCACGGCCCTAACTAAACTTCTTCCAGGGGCTGAGGGGGCCAGGTGCTGGGCAGCGGGGAGGGCGCCTGCTTTGCATGGCATTGACCCAGGCGGGGGCCCTGGCCCCTGCAGGAGTGAGCACTGAGCATAGAGCAGGAGTGAGCCCTGAGCACAGAGTGGGAGTCATCCCTGAGCACAGAGCTAGGAGTCATCCCCGAGCACAGAGCTGGGAGTGAGCCCTGAGCACAGAGCCGGGAGTCAGCCCCAAGCACAGAGCCGGGAGTGAGTCCCGAGCACAGAGCCAGGAGTCAGCCCCGAGTGCAGAGCCGGGAGTGAGCCCCGAGCGCAGAGCCGGGAGTGAGCCCTGAGCACAGAGCCGGGAGCCAACCCTGAGCACAGAGCCGGGAGTCAGCCCTGAGCACAGAGCAAGAGTGAGCACTGAGCACAGAGCAGGAGTCAGCCCTGAGCACAGAGCCAGGAGTGAGCACTGAGCCTAGAGCTGGAGTGAGCACCACTGGGCATCGTCTGAAAGCAGAACTGAATCGGACAGGGTTCAGCCGTGTCCCCCCAGCATGGGCATGGGGGTCTCCATCCTGCCTCGGCCCCCAGTGGGCTGTTCCTGCCCCTCCCCGAGTCTGTCCCGCCCCCGTGCTGGTCCCTGGGTCGCCCGGGGCTGCGGGGTGAGGGTGTGTCCAGCATCAGGTCCAGCCCCCTTGGGCCCCAGGAGGGCCGAGTACCCCGGGGGGCAGGTGGACAGAGCAGAGGGCAGCCCCTCTGCCCGGGAGGTCGCCTGCGCCCCCTCGGGGAATGTCCCAGGGAGGACCCAGCCGCACACGCCCTCCCTGGGTCTCGGACCCGCCCCTCCAGTTCCTCAGTCACCTGTTCTTCTGTGCCCAGGTGTGCAGAGACCCTGTTGTATCTCAGCCCTCACCGGGGACAGGTCCAGGGGAACTTCCTGGAGGAAGAGGCAACTTGGGCACACGGAGCTCTGTGCTCAGGGCTGACTCCCGGCTCTATGCTCAGGGCTCACTCCTGGCTCTGTGCTCAGGGCTGATTCCCAGCTCTATGCTCAGGGCTCACTCCCGGCTCTGTGCTCAGGGCTCACTCCTGGCTCTTTGCTCAGGGCTGACTCCCGGCTCTGTGCTCAGGGCTGATTCCCGGCTCTGTGCTCAGGGCTCACTCCGGCTCAGGGGACCTTATGGAGTGCCGGGATCCAGGCAGGTTTGGCCGTGTGGACGGGCAGCGCCTGCCCCCTGCACTCCTGCCCTGCTAGAGGTTTTGCCGTCGGGGGGGCTCTGCTCCTTCCTTGTTCCGTCCTTGTTCCCCATCCTGCGCTGACTCTCAGACTTTAGCTGTGGCCCTTGCAGTGCTTGGAGGTTGTTGGGGAACCCCGGGACTTTCTGTTCTGTTTCTGACCACATCCGCTGAGCTCTGGTTCCTGGAGGGCTTGGGGGGTGCATGGGGGTCAGGGATGGGTTCCAGGTGGTCTGGGTGCCTGGCAGCCTAAGGGCAGACTCTGTGGGTGGCCTGTGTGGGGGAAAACACAGAGAACCCGGGGAGTGACCCGCACCTGCCTGCACCCTGCTTACGGGGAGACACAAAGGCCCCTCGGGAATCTGCCCGCTTAGACCTTCCGAGACCGCAGAGGCCAGGAAAGCCCCTGAGCCGAGCCAGCCTGGGGCCCTCGTGTCCCAGACCAGAGCGAAGAGCAGACGCCAGTTGGGTGCCGTTGTTGTCGTTGTCGTAGGCGGTCGGTCAGCCACCCGCGTGCATTTTCCCGTCCTGCCGTCCCCCGTCTCTGAGGGTGTGGCCATGTCCCCTTGCATCCAGGGCAGGAGGCTGGGGGTCAGGGGACAAACAGCTCGTGGGCCGTGCATGGGCCTGTGGTCTGGGCCTCCTGTCCTGGTGCCCTGCTAGGCGACCGGCGGCTCTGTGCTGGGGTCTGGTTCCTGTCCCCCTTCCCGGAAGCGGCCAGGCTGACCACACCGGGCAGAGCTGCCCACCACTGCCTGACTGCCTTGAAGGCGTGTGTGTCCACGGGGCACTGAACTCCTCCTCCTGGGGGACAGCAGCCCCTGGAGCTGGGCAGCTGGCCGTGCCCGCTCACACCCCCGCCTAGGTAGGAGGAACAAGCGTCCATCTGGCCGGAGCATTTTTTTTTCTTTTTGGGTCACACCCGGCGATGCACAGGGGTTCCTCCTGACTCTGCACTCAGGAGTTACTCCTGGCAGTACTCAGGGGACCATATGGGATGCTGGGACTCGAACCCTGGTTGGCCGCATGCAAGGCAAACGCCCTCCCCGCTGTGCTATCGCTCCAGCCTCTGGTCGGAGCATGTTTGTTGCTGTTGTTGCTGGTGTGTCTTGTGTGATTTCGGGTCCTGGGACAGTTCCGTGAGGGAGAGTGTGTTCTCCCAGGGAGGGTGGTACAGTGGGCAGGGCTGTCTCGGTGCTGCAGGAGCTGGGAGTGTCCACACCTGCTGGACGGGTCCTTCCAGGGGCTGGGCGGGGGTCCCGGGTGTATCTGGAAGGGCTGGAAGGGCCGTCGCTGGGCTGCAGAGGGGTCGGGCTTAGAGCACTGGCCTTGAGAACAGGGGACCCCATGTGACCTGACCCCCAGCACCCCTCGGGCCCCCAGGCACTGCGGGTGGGGCCCAAGAACCAGGACAGAGTCAGGGTTTCACCGGAAAGTTTTGCAGGTGCCTGAGGTTCTGATGCAGTGGCTCTGGGCCAGCTTGAGGAACATGTGAGGGTCCAGTCATGGGTGCTGAGGGTCACTCTCTGGGTGGTGGTCTTCTGCTTCTACCCAGCAGGGCTGGGGTGGGCTGGGGATTGACGGATAGAGGAGGTGAGCACAGGCGGTGAGCACACTTCAAAACAGGGCCCTGGAGTGAGCCCTTGTCCTGCTCTCGTGGAATGATCTCACCTGTTGAAAAAAAAAAATTTTATTTTTATTGCATAATCTTGACTGGATTCAAAAACAGAGAAAAAGCAACTTGACCCGGGGTTTTTAAATGACAAACAGTCCAAAAATAATTTTTTTAAAAAATATTTTTATGAATTTCTCATAAGGTGCTTGGCCCATGAAAAAATGCTTTTATGGGATTTCCTAACAAGTACTCAGAATCTGTGTGAACAAATAAACAGAAATTAAACTGGAATATCAAGATTTGTTGGCTTTTCCCTGCGCCGTGGGTGTGGGTCCTCTTCTGTGGAGTGTGTGTGTGTGTGTGTGTGGGGGGGGGGACCAGGGAATTCAGTCCTGGGAGGGAATGTTCCTCTCCTGGGGCCCAGGGTCACTGATTGTCCTTCCGATCTGGGGTCTGCGCCCCAGGGGGGCTTGACAATGTGCCTATTTTCTTTGTAGGTTGTCAGGCCACCAGAGAAAACCTCGGAGTGACACGCCTTTCCCGGCACAGAGACCAGAATGTCGTACATAGACCCTTTCCAGCACATCATAGTAAGTCCCTGCTGCCCTGCGGGCTTTCGGGAGGCCAGATAGTGCCAGGCCTGGGTTTCCCAGTGGGTCGAGCTGCCCGCTTCCTGGAGGTCCCCCTCTGGTCGGAGGGCAGAGCCAGGCGCCCCGAACACTGACTCAGCATCCCCATTGCCTGCTGAGCCCCGTCAGTTGGTGCAGAGATGAGAACAGGATGACCCCGTTGGTGCATTTCTGCCTTTTCTGTCTTTGGCTATACCCGGTGATGCTCAGGGCTGACTACTGGCTCTGAGCTCAGGGATCACTACTGGCGGTGCTCAGGGGACCCTAGGGGATGCCGGGGATCGAACCCGGGTCGATCACGTGCAAGGCAGACACCCTCCCTGTTGTGCTATCACTCCGGCCCCAGGAGAAGTTGTTTTATTTACCAAAACAGGATCCTACATAGTACTGCAGTTTTATTTTATTGTTTGGTTTGGAGGCCACAACTCAGGGGTGTTCAGGGGTTCCTCCTGGCTCATGCACTCAGGAATCACTCCTGGAGGTTCCCGGGTGGGACCCTGTGAGATGGCGGGGATCGAACCCGGGTTGGCCACATGCCAGGCCCACGCCCTCCCCACTGTGCTCTTGCTTCACCCAGGTGAACATTTCTGGGGTGTTTATTCCTCAGTTGTCCCTGGCTCTGCAGTTTTAACTGTACATCTCGGTGGTGAAGGTTTAGCAAAGATTAATTCAAACTTGACTGTGTCATTTACTAACTCCATTCTAATCATGGAGCTGGAGCGATAGCACAGCGGGTAGGGCGTTTGCCTTGCACCCGGCCGACCTGGTCGGCCCAGGTTCAATTCCTCCACCCTTCTCGGAGAGCCCGATAACCTACCAAGAGGATCCCGCCCGCACACTCGGCAGAGCCTGGCAAGCTCCCCGTGACGTATTCAATAAGCCAAACACAGTAACAAGAAGTCTCACCATGGAGACATTACTGGGCCCGCTCAAGCAAATTGATGTTTGGTATTTGGGTCACACCTGGCAGTGCTCAGGGGTTCCACTCAGCTCTGCACTCAGGAATTACTCCTGGCAGTGCTCAGGGGACTCTATGGGATGCTGGGAATAGAACCTGGGTCGGCCGCGTGCAAGGCCAACGCCCTCCACGCTGTGCTGTCACTCTGGCCTCAATACAACTTCTGGACTAAATCCAAGTGTTCATCTTTCTTTTGATGTTTGATCCAAATTCGGGTTTCTTTTTCTCTCTAACAATGACCCTGTTTCAAATATCCTCTGCCACGTGTTAACATAAACCCATCATAAGTCCTTTGATTAATGAATGGCTCCGTCCTTTGGTTCTTAACCCATGTTGTCCCTTGTATTTAAAGTGTGTTTGTGTGTTGGTTTTCTCCTGGGCGTGGGTGTGGGAGGGGAGGCTAGAGCCTCTGGCCTGGGGTGCGGGGTCTGCATTCCTGGGCTGCCTCCCCAGGACACGCCCTCCCGGGCTTGTGAGGACACTGGGCAGCCAGTCAGGTTGGCTTATAGAATTAACCCCCCACTGCCGCTCTCAGAAATGTTCCTGGATTTCATGCACCTGTCCCCGGTTTTCCTTATTTCCTGTGGGAGGTGACTGTGAGGTCTCCTGCAGGACAGCTAATTGGACGGGGACCTTTGACCTCTGCCCAGCAGGGTCAGTCACGGAGAATGAGACAGACGGACACTGAGGCCTCCAGGCGCACGGTGGCCTCTGCAGCAGCTCGAACAAGGCCTCTCTGTTTTGTTTTTGTTTGGGGGTCCCACCCGGCGATGCTCAGAGCTTTCTCCCGGCTCTGCACTCAGGGATCACTGCTGGCGGGGCTCAGGGGACCCTATGGGATGATGCCGGGGATTGAACCCTGGTCAGCCGTGTGCAAGGCAAATGCCCTCCCCGCTGGACTATCTGTCCAATTGCATGATGATGATGATGATTTTGGCCTTCTGGGTCACACCTGGCAATGCTCAGGGCTGACTTCTGGCTCTGCACTCAGGGATCACTGCTGGCGGGGGTCGGGGGACCCTATGGGATGATGCCGGGGATTGAACCCGGGTCTGCACCATGCAAGGCCAATGCCCTCCCCGCTGTGCTCACTCCGGCTCCTCATGGTGAAAATTTCATTAACTACTTAAAACTAAGCTATTCAAGGTAAAGGTAAAGGCCCTCCCGTTGATCGTCGATTTGCTCGAGCGGGCCCAGTAACGTCTCCATTGGAGACTTTGTTGTTACTGTGTCTGGCATATCGAATACTCTCGGTAGCTTGCCGGGCTCTCCGAGAGGGGCGGAGGAATCGAACTCGGGTCGGCCATGTTGGCTGCGTGCAAGGCAGACGCCCTACCCGCTGTGCTATCGCTCCAGCCCTAAATATTTAACAAATATTCAAATAAATATTTAACAAATATCATTTAATATATAACAATAACTGTTATTTTATATTATTTAATGTAATATAACATTACATCATCTAGGTCTAGGACTATCTAGGACATCTTATTATCTAGTTCTTACTCTGGAGAACCTGACAGGCTACCAAAAGTATCCTGCCCACACGGCAGAGCCTGGCAAACTCCCCGTGGTGTATTCAATATGCCAAAAACCAGTAACAATGATGGGTCTTGACCCTGAAAGAGCCTTGAATGTGGCACTTTTAAAAATCTCAGGGCTAGGACATAGGAGACGTTACTAGAGCCTGCTCGAGGCAATCGATGACCAACAGGATGACAGTGATACAGTGATTTAATGTAAATATTATTTCACGATCACGATCACGACCATCCTGTTGTTCGTCGATTGCCTTGAGCAGGCCCCAGTAACGTCTCCTTCATCCTAGTGGTTGTGCTTGTCCGACCATTTCTCTTTGATTTTGAATTTTACTTTCTGCTTTCTTACGGGGCTCCAACTCGGGCCTTAGACTCCACTAGCCTGAATCCGGGTCCCTGCTGTATTTTTTTGTTGCTATTTGGTTTTGGGTTTGGGGGTGGGCCCAGCTCACAGGCTGCTCCTGGCTCTGTGCTCAGGAGTGACCCCTGGCTGAGCCTGTCCTTGGCCAGCTACTCTTTCTCAGCCCCTGGCTTTTATTATTCGTGTTTTTTCAAGACCAGTCGGAGGACCTGCCTCTACTTCTTCTTTGGCTCTATTATGTCTTTTGTTTTTTTCTTTGCTTTTTGGGTCACAACCGGCGATGCTCAGGGCTGACTTCCAGCTCTGCACTCAGGAATCACTCCTGGCGGTGCTCGGGGGACCCTAGGGGATGCTGGGAATTGAACCCAGGTCGGCCATATGCAAGGCAAACGCCCTTCCCGCTGTACTATCGCTCCAACCCCTCTTATTTTGTCTTTGGAACTGGTGCATTTTATCTGCTTATCAAATGTAATACTCCTTTATTATCCTTGTTGTTTGTTTGTTTGGGGGTCACACCCAGCGATGCTCAGGGCTGACTCCTGGCTCTGTACTCAGAGGTCACTCCAGGTGGGGCTCAGGGGGACCCTGGAGGGTCCTGGGGAATCGAACCCGGGTTGGCTGCATGTAAGGCAATCCCTTCCCTGCTTATCTGTTGCCCCAGCCCTTCTTTATTTTTATTTATTTATTTTTGGCATTTTGGGTCACACCCAGCAATGCTCAGGGCTGACTCCTGGCTCTGCACTCAGGAATCACTCCTGGTAGTGCTTGGGGGGGACCCTATGGAATGCCAGGGATCGAACCGGTTGGCCGCATGCCAGGCCAACGCCCTCCCCGCTGGACTACTGCTCCAGCCCTCTCCTCTACTTTTGAACTGTAGTATCTGTAGTAAATTTCCCTCATGCATTAATGGTACTTGTAATGGGTGTTTTTTTCATGTTTCCTGGCTAGGGTATGATCATTTTTTTTATCACGCAATTTGCATCAGCCCTTTTTTTAGGGCTGGAGCGATAGCACAGCGGGTAGGGCGTCTGCCTTACACGCAGCCAACATGGCCGACCCGAGTTCGATTCCTCCGCCCCTCTCGGAGAGCCCGGCAAGCTACCGAGAGTATTCGATATGCCAGATACAGTAACAACGAAGTCTCCAATGGAGATGTTACTGGGCCCGCTCGAGCAAATCGGGCCTTTACCTTTACAGTAGAGTTGGAGTTTGAAACCTCTTCGACATTGAGAGTCACAAAAGGATCAATGTTCAATTCCTCCGCCCCTCTCGGAGAGCCCGGCAAGCTACCGAGAGTATTCGATATGCCAGACACAGTAACAACAAAGTCTCCAATGGAGACGTTACTGGGCCCGCTCGAGCAAATTGACGATCAACGGGAGGGCCTTTTTTAAATTTTTAAAAATTTTTTTTTATTTTTATGAGTCAGAGAGGAAAGATTACATTCATCTAGGGTATGATCAATCTTTTCTAGGACCCAGCTTTTGGTTTCAGTGATTTTTCTCTATTAATTTCTCTATGTTTTTCTCTAAGTTTCAGGTTTTTCTTTTGCTTAGTTTGGATTTATCGCAACCCTTCATTCTTGAGTTTCCTAAAATCGACACTGGATGGTCGATTTTAAGGTCTTTCATAGGAATGCTGTCACTTCGGCCCTCAAGTCTTGGTACAATGGAGGTTTATTTTCATTTAGTTTCAAATAAGTTTCATTTAGTTTCAAAGCTTCCCTGTGGCTTGTATTTAGTTAGTTTTTATGTTATTTTTTAATGATACTTTTAATTTTTATTTTATTATTTTATTATTATTATTATTTTGCTTTTTGGGTCACACTTGGCAATGCTCAGGAGTTACTCCTGGCTCTGCGCTTAGGAATCACTCCTGGTTACTTGGGGGACCATATGGGATGCCGGGGATCGAACCCCGGTCGACTGCGTGCAAAGCAATCGCCCTACCCGCTATGCTATCACTCCAGCCCCTATGTTATATTTTTTAAGGGGGATGTTTGGGTCACACCTGGACTCCTGGCTCTGCGCTCAGGAATCACCCCTGACAGTGCTCAGGGGACCTGTGGGGTGCCAGGGATCGAACCCAGGTCAGCCACATGCAAGGCAAGTACCCTCCCCGCTGTTTCTCTGGCTTCAGGCCCCAGAGTTTTTAATCATTAAGCAAGTCCGCAAATTTAGTCAAGATAACTCTTTAGTCAAGAGACCTTATATTTATTTTCATTTAATAAATAGTAGCTTAAAAAATGTGAGCCTTCCCTAGGATTAAGCAAAGTGCCCAGGCTTCAAGATAAACTCTCAGCCACTCCCCAAACACAGATTTCCTGCTTCCTCTCCGAGTGGGTGAAATTGTTGGGTGCTGAGTTAGCTAGGTGAGGCGTTCAGTAAGTTAGCACTGTTTGTCCAAATCATGTTTTGTCCTAGTTGTCGTTGTAGTATTGATTCTCTGACGGCGAGAACTCTTCACGTGAGAAGCTTTTCTTTCATTGCCGCATGTAGTTTCCGATCAGTGCTTCAGGGTTAATCTTTTTTTTTCCCCTTTGCTATTAACTCTATTAACTCTAAATTTTATTAGATTTTTTTTTTTTACATTTTTAATAGTGAGACACCATGAGGTACAGTTGTAGACTTACAGATTTTTGTGCTTGGGTTTCGATTATACAATGATCAAATACCCATCCCTCCACCAGGGCCCATTTCCCACCACCACGGATCCCAGTATCCCTCCCACCCCCCATCCCCCCATCCCACCCTGCCTCTGTGGCAGGGCATTCCCTTTTGTTCTCTCTCTCCTCTTGGGTGCTGTGGTTTGCAAAAGAGGCAGTGGGTGGCAATCATGTTTGGTCTATAGTCTACTTTCAGCATGCTTCTCTTCAGGGTTAATCTTTTTTTTTTTTTTTTTGCTTTTTGGGTCACACCTGGCGGTGCTCAGGGGACCATATGGGATGCTGGGAATCGAACCCGGGTGCAAGGCAAACGCCCTACCCGCTGTGCTATCTCTCAGCCCCCAGAGTTAATCTTAACAGCCATTTGTGGCCTGTTTGAGGAGCAATGACCAGTGCAGGGCGGACCCTTATCACAGCCAGGCGTGCAGCCGGCCCAGGTTCAATCTCCAGCCCCACGCGGGGGTCTCCGAGCGCCCATAGGTGAGACTCCCGAGCACAGAGCCAGGAGTAAGTGCTGAGCGCTGGCTGGGCCCCAGCCCGCTGGATAAAAGGTTCTGAAGCTGTTCTGTCTCCTGGTGTCACTCAGGAAAATCGAGCCCTAGGGCCGCTGGCTTGCACGGGACCTAGCTGGGCTTGGTCCTGGGTGCTGTCAATCTCCCAGCACTGCCGGAGGAGGGTCCCGGAGCACAGCTGAGCTGAACAATGCAGGGTGTGGCCCGGAGCCAGGTGGGGAGGGGACAGCCCGGCCCTCGGGGGCCAGAAACAGTGAAACAAACCCGAGTGTGGCATGCAAACTCGCCGGGCCTCAGGAGGTGTCACTTCCTGGTCTGTGGCCACAGGCCTGTCCCAGCCTCCTCTTGGGCCCCGGGCCGGGCCTGGGTCACTCTGAAGCACGATCTCAGCCCTCCCTCCCGTCCTCAATCTGCAGCCTTGGAAGATGTTTCTGGTGCGTGCGCTGGCTCTGCCCGTGGCCGGGGAGGGGCCGTGTGCTGCCCACCCCCGGGACGTGGAGTGACCGTGTCTCTTCTTTGCAGGTGGAGCACCAGTACTCCCACAAGCTCACCGTGACAGTGCTCCGGGCCACCAAGGTGACCAAAGGCGCCTTCGGGGACTTGCGTAAGTTTCCTGCGGAGACGCGGAGCCCAGGGTCGCCCCGCAGTGGCCAGGCCAGCTGGGCCCCTCTTCGCTGCCCGAGTGCCAGTGTGGGGGGTTTACCTGCCGTCTCCTGGGCCTTGCCTTGCCCAGGCCCCCCAGACTCTGCTGGGCCGCCTCAGGGCACGACCAGGGTCCACTTGGTGGGCCTGACACGGGTGTCCTGGCCTGGTAGTAGGCAGGCTGGGCGGGCAGGCTGGCCCTCATGGACAGGGTGGTGTCCTGGCTCTGCTGTCTAGACGGTCCCTGGCCCATGGAGAGCTGGGTCGGGCAGAGCCTGCGTCCCCCGCTCAGGGCCGGCTCCCGACTCGGTGCTCAGAGATCCCTTCAGCAATGCCAGGGATGGGACTGGGCAGGGACCTCCCTGTGTACTCGCTCCTCCCTGGCCCTCCCCTCCCCTCCCCTCCCCTCCCCTCCCTGGCCCTCCCCTTTTCCACATTTGTTCCGACAGACATTGGAAATGCACCGTGTGCAAAAACCAAAAAAAACAAAAAGCAAAACAAACAAACAAACAAAAAAAACACAGGGGCTGGAGCCATAGCACAGCGGGGAGGGCGTTTGCCTTGCACAAGGCCAACCCGGGTTTGAATCCCAGCATCCCATGTTGTCCCCAGAGCACCGCCAGGGATAATTCCTGAGTGCAGGGCCAGGAGTCAGCCCAGAGCATCACCGGAAATGACCCAAAAAGCAAAAAAAAAAACAAAAAAAAAAACCCAAAAAACGGTTCAAACCTAGTATCTGGGCTCCTTGGGCGTGAGGTGGGAGTCCCTCGGATCTGTGAATGTGGTCGCTCCTTTGAAGCAGGCAGAGGGTGAGGCGGGCACCCTGGCACCCTGGCAGTGGCACTGGGCAGGGACGTATAGGCCCGAGGCCGGTACAGAGCACCCCCCTGCCCCCTCCGGCAATCCCAGACCCAGAGCAGCCTGAGGGTGCTGGGCCCTGGGGACCCTGAGGCCCTCTCTGATCTCTAGGCCCCTGATAAGATTAGGGACGCCAAAGGCCTTGATAGGGCTGGAGCCCGGACCAGCCCCCTGTGAAGAGACAGCACAGGGTTGGGGGGGGCGTCAGCCTTGCACACAGCCAGCTGGGTGTGGGGGGGTGGAGCCCCCAAACAGAACCCAGCCGAGGCCGAGATGAGAGCAGGAAGGGGGTCCCGAGCCTTCCCCCCCAACCGACCTGGCACCTCTTATCCCCGGAGAAGCCCCGGGCAGGGCCTGTTTGGGGGGACCCTGTGGGACCCCGTGTGCATTCTGGGCAACCCTCTCAGCTGGGACATGACGTTGCTCTCACTGGGTCTCTGGGGCCGGGCTCTGCTCTCTTGGGAGGCTCATTCTCCAGGGCTGAGCCTTTCCTACTGGCTCCTGGAATGCTTTTCTTTGGTTCTGGCAGAGCTCAGGGCTGACTCCCGGCTCAGTGCTCAGGGCTGACTCCCAGTTCAGTGCTCAGGTCTGACTCCCGAATCAGTGCTCAGGAACAACTCCCATCTCAGTGCTCAGGGATCACTTTGGGCTCTGTGCTCAGAGTTGACTCCTGGCTCTGTGCTCAAGGCTGACTCCTGGCTCAGTGCTCAGGGCTGACTCCCAGCTCTGTGCTCAGGGCTCACTCCCGGCTCTGTGCTCAGGGCTCACTCCCGACTCTGTGCTCAAGGCTGACTCCTGGCTCTGTGCGCAGGAATGACTCCCAGCTCAGTGCTCAGGCCTGACTCCCAGCTCTGTGCTCAGGGATGACTCTTGGCTCAGTGCTCAGGGATGACTCCCAGCTCTGTGCTCAAGGCTGATTCCTGGATCTGTGCTCAGGGCTGACTCCCGGTTCTGTGCTCAGGGCTCACTCCCTGCAGTGCTCAGGGCTGACTCCTGGCGGGGATCAGGGTCCTTTGGGGCGGCCTTGTGTAGGGCACACCCCTCCTCCCCGCTGTGCTCGGCTTCCTGAAGCTTCTCTGTGAGCTGCTCCCCCGACCAAGATGCTCTCTGAGTGGCCGGCTGTGGGCTGCCCAACAGGGCAGGGCACCAGACGTCCAGGCCTTGCAGGAGCTCACAGCTCCCACGGTACTTCCGGGTGACTGGGTGTTAGCTGGACGCACACGGTCCCCTCCCCCCAGCCTTGGGCCCCTCCCACCAGTGGTGGAGGCCCCCATGAGCGCCCAGGGGAGGGGAGGGGCCAGTCCCTGTGTCCTGGATGGCATCTTCCTCTCGTCCCTCTGGCCAGCCCTGGCCAATGGCCAGTGGCGGCCGCTCTGCTTGGCTTCTCCCACGTGGAGCTGCCCCGCCCTGCTGGCTCTCCCTGGCCAGCTGCTGGCCTCATTTGACTGTGAGACCCGCCCGCCACCCAATGCAAAGCAGTCGGGCCTCTGGCTAGCCAGCTGGACGGGGCGGGCATGGCTGAGGCTGGGCTGCTGAAGCTGCTGGAGCCCGCTACGGGCTCTTGCTGCTTCTCAGGCGGAGATTGGCCATCAGTAGCACCAAGGTGGCCACACTTCAGCTGCCCTGCCTCAGCTCAGAGCAGGGACAGAGAGTGGGCATGCTCGGCAAGCTGGAATCGCGGGGAGCTTGCTATCAGACCAGGAGATCACTGGTTCTTTTTATTTATTGGGGGTGCACGGGGCTTACGCTCACCTCCGGTCCCTCTTCAGAGAGGATGACCCAGGGCTGGAGAGCAGGTCCAGCGGGTGGCTACTCCGCGTGCGTGTGGCCGGCCCAGCCTTGGTCTCCAGCCCCCAGACGGTCCCTTGGGCCCTGGCAGGCTCCATCCTGGGCATCACTGGGTATGGCTCAAAACCGCATAAGTAAAAATAAATGGTAAACACAGGGGCCGCTGGAAACCAGTTATGTTTGGGGAAAGGACCAAGTTAGAACACTCAAAAAAAATTTTAAAAAAGTGTGGTTTTGTGTCTTTTCGTTTCACAGAAGAGACTTTAAAAAATAAAGCCATGTGGGGGCTGGAGCGATAGCACAGAGGGGAGGGTGTTGGCCTGGCACATGGCCGACCCGGGTTCGATTCCCAGCACCCCATAGGGTCCCCCGAGCACCACCAGGAGTGATTCCTGAGTGCAGACTTGGTAGTCAGCCCTGAACATCACTGGGTGTGACCCAAAAAGCAAATAATAATAATAATAATGATGATAATATTAATAATATGAGGGGCCGGAGTGATAGCACAGTGGGGAGGGTGTTGGCCTGGCACGCGGCCGACCCGGGTTTGATTCCCAGCATCCCATAGGGTCCCCCCGAGCACCGCCAGGAGTGATTCCTGAGTTCAGAGCCTGGAGGAAGCCCTGAGCGTCATCGGGTGTGACCCAAAAAGAAAACACAAAAAACAACAACAAAAATGAAGCCAAGCATAGTAGGAACTCAAAAAATTTCTCTTAAAGATGTTATCCAGTTACTTCTCTACGTCAAGGAAAGGAGCGGGAGAGGGAGAAGGATCATTAAATTGTGACCAGATCTGTAACTTGGTTTTTTTTTTTTTTTACTTTAAGTTATCCCTCGAGCGGGCCCAGTAACGTCTCCATTGGAGACTTTGTTGTTACTGTGTCTGGCATATCGAATACTCTCGGTAGCTTGCCGGGCTCTCCGAGAGGGGCGGAGGAATCGAACTCGGGTCGGCCATGTTGGCTGCGTGCAAGGCAGACGCCCTACCCGCTGTGCTATCGCTCCAGCCCTTTTTACTTTTTTACTTTACTTAAGTTATCCCATATTTTTTATTATTGAGGGTTTTTTTTTGGGGGGGGCAGGAGACAGAAACTTGGTAGCCAGTCCCTCCTTGTCACTGAATTTGTGGGAATCCAGAAGAGGGAAAAGGACTCTCGTGAGGTCAGTGCAAAAGGTGAAGGGTCAAGTGGAACCCCAGACGCGGAGTCTCTGAGAAGTTGTCATGGTGGCAGGTGGTGGGATAACGGTCACGGTCACAGTCCTCCGGTTGTTCATCGATTTGCTCGAGTGGGCCCAGTAACGTCTCCGTTGTGAGACTTGTTGTTACTGTGTTTGGCATATCGAATACGTCACGGGGAGCTTGCCAGGCTCTGCTGTGCGGGCGAGATACTCTCGGTAGCTTGCCGGGCTCTCCGAGTGGGGCAAAGGAATTGAACCCGGCTCGGCCTGGCCGGCTGTGTGCAAGATAAACACCCTACCTCTGTGCTAACATTCTTTTTTTTTCTTTTTAATTTTTATTAGTGAAACACCATGAGGTACAGTTGTAGACTTACAAATTTTTGTGCTTGGGTTTCAGTTATAAAATGATCGAGTACCCATCCCTCCACCAGTGCCCATGCGATTATGGGAAGCCTGGTTCCTTAGAACACCGCGGGCGGAGTTGGGCGTGCTTGCTTATGGAAGTTCTCCAGGAGGGGCTGCGACGGTGGGGCGGGCATTGGCCTTGCACCCCGGAGGGTCTGCAGAGCTCCACCCCCAGGATGAACCCCTGAATGCAGAGTCAGGAGTCAGCCCTGAGCACGTTCTGGTCCCACCACCAAAACCAAAACTGGTTTTTCTAGCAAAACCCAGAAATCTTAAACACAAACAAGCAGATTCTGGCTATTGTAAAGAGTGCTGCAATGAACAAACAAGTGCAGATGTCACTTCGACTATACCTTTTTGCCTCTCTGGGATATATTCCCAGGAGTGGTATTGCTGGGTCAAATGGGAGCTCAATTTCTTTTTTTTTTAAATTTTTATTAGTGAAACACCATGAGGTACAGTTGTAGACTTACAGATTTTTGTGCTTGAGTTTCGATTATACAATGATCAAATACCCATCCCTCCACCAGTGCCCATTTTCCACCACCACGAATCCCAATATCCCTCCCACCACCCATCCCGCCCATCCCACCCTGCCTATGCGGCAGGACATTCCCTTTTGTTCTCTCTCTCCTTTGGGGTGCTGCGGTTTGCAAAAGAGGCATTGAGTGGCAATCCTGTTCGGTCTATAGTCTACTTTCAACATGCATCTCCCCTCCTGGGAGGATCCTCCCAACACCCTTTATTTGGTGCTCCCTTCTCTATCTGAGCTCCCTTTTCCCCTAGCATGTCTGTCTGGCCTCTAAGCCATGGAGTAAAATTCCTGGTACTGATCTCGGCTATTCTTGGGTATTAATCTCCTATTTTGTTACTTTATGTCCCCCAGATGAATGCAATCTTTCTATGTCTGTCCCTCTCTTCCTGACTCATTTCGCTTAGCATGATACTTTCCATGTAGTACCACTTGTATGTAAATTTCATGACTTCATCTTTTCTAACAGCTACATACTACTCCGTTGTGTAGATGTACCAAAGTTTCTTTAACCAGTCATCTGTTCTCAGGCACTCAGTTTTTTTCCAGATTCTGGCTATTGTAAACAGTGCTGCAGTGAACAAACACGTGCAGACGTCACTTCCACTATATCTTTTTGCCTCTCTGGGATATATTCCCAGGAGTGGTATTGCTGGGTCAAATGGGAGCTCGATTTCTAATTTCTTGAGAATCGTCCATACTGTTTTCCAACCGTACCTCATGGTGTCTCACTAATAACAAAATAAATAAGTAAAAAACAAAACAAAACAAACAAACAACAACACCAACAACAAAACCAAGCAGACTCCTTAGCGGTAAGGACAGAGCCAGCAGAGGCTGACCTGAGCTCTGGGATTCCGGGAGACGCCCACACCTCTTCTCTCCGCTCCTCTCCCCTGCAGGCGTCTTTCTTTAAAGAGGCACAAGGTTGCTTCTGAGGGTTTCGGCTCTGGCGGTTTGAGGGGGCCCGTGTCCACCTGCTGCCCGGTGCCTGGACAGCTGGACAGTCACTCCTTCCTTCCGACACCGAGATTGGTTCCTTTGGGGCTGGAGCGATAGCCCAGTGGGGAGGGCATTTGCCTGGCACGCGGCCAACCCAGGTCCTATCCCCGGCATCCCAAAGGGTCCCCCGAGCACTGCCAGGAGGGATTCCTGAGTGCAGGGCCAGGAGCGGCTCAGGGGTAACCCCAGAACCAAGACAAACCCAAACTAGCAGTTCAGCTTATGCAGACACTGACCCCCAAACTAGATCCTCCAAAACGAGTATTTATGAACCTTGAAAGACCAAATAGTCACAGTGGAGCCGGATTCCTGAGATTATGTTTTTTTCTCTACAGAGGATTTTCATGAGTCCAGACATTGTCCGTGAGGGGGTTAGATAAATAAGCATAAATGCCTCACACCTGTCGCCTGATTACATTCATAAATCCTGAGATTCTTCCACAATGTAGTCACGCCGCTTCTCACGCAAGCGGCACAGAATTCTGCCGTTTCTGTAAACGCTAAGTCACCAGAACCCTAAGCTCGCCTCCCACCGAGGCCGGCTCTCCCCTCCCCGCACAGTGCTCGGGCTTCTGCTCCCTCAGCTCTGAGTGTGGGTCTGATGCTGCCTTATCCCTCTGCCGCAGGGGAACTTCTGTCCTTTCCCCTGGAAAGGATCTTGGTTCCATGTCCTCTGAAGGCCCGAAATTTATTTATTTTTATTTCTATCCCTTTATAAATTTTGGGTTTTGAGGAGTACCTGGTGGTGCTCAGGGCTGACCCCTGGCTCTGTGCTCAGTGACGCCCGGCTCTGTGCTCAGGGCTGACTCCTGGCTCTGCGCTCAGGGCTGACTCCTGGCTCTGTGCTCAGGGATGACTCCTGATCCTGTGCTCAAGGTCTTGGCTCTGTGCTCAGAGTTCACTCCTGGCTCTGCACTCAGGAATTACTCCTAGCAGTGCTCGGGCGACCCAATGGGATGCCGAGGATTGAACCCTGGTCGGCTATGTTAAAATAGGAGAGGGGGAGCTGAGATGGTTCTTGGCTGGGTCCCGAGCCAACACGGCTGAGGTCAGCCAGGAAGGGCCCAGGTCATCCCGTGGCATCTTCGAGATGCCAAACACAGTCACAACAAGTCTCACCATGGAGACGTTCCTGGTGTCCGTACGAGCCAATCGATGAACAACGGGAGGACAGTGCGACTCTTATGATCAGGCTTGAGGTTTCATCCAGTGGTGCTTGGGACTTACTCCTGACTGTGCTCAGGGTCTTCCTTGCCAGTGCTCGGGGAACTCTGTGTGGTGCCCGGGACTGCCCTGGGACAAGTTGCGGGCACTGCATGGCCAAATCCCCTGTCACATCTATGTAGGAGAGTCACGGTGGGCCACACCAGGACCAGGTACTTCCTACAGGCACAGTGTTGTATAGTGCAGTGTTGTGCAGGTGCGATGTTGTGTGGTGCAGTATTGTAGAGGTGCAGTGTTGTATGGTAAAATGTTGTACAGGTGCGGTGTTGTGTGGTGCAATATTGTACAGGTGTGATGTTGTATGGTGCGGTTTTGTACAGGTGCGGTGTTGGATGGTGCAGTATTGTACAGGTGTGGTTTTGTGCAGGCGTGGCATATTGTGCGGGGTTACTGTGTCTGGGGCCCACTTTCTGTCGCCCGAACACCTCACACCCACACTCGCCTTCCGTGCACTGCAGATGTGGGAGTGAGTAGGTGTGAGCCCGAGCAGCGTCTGCTCACGTTGGCTGTGGCTCTGAGCATTGTTGAGCGCCCAGGGAAGGGGAGGGAGAGGCAGGAGCAGACAGACCTCCCGCTCTGCAGCCCAGGTCTGGACAGTGCCCCTCAGCCAGAGCCAAGGGGTTCTCCCTCCAGTGCTGGGTAGAGCGGTCTTGCTTTTCTGTTTCTCTTTTGGGGGCGCGGGTGAGGCCATACTCAATGATGCTCAGGACTGACTCCTGCTCTGTGCTCAGGGGTCCACTCCTGGGGTGCTCAGGGGCCCTGTGGGACGCCAGGCTCTAACCCAGGTGGGCCGTGTGCCCGGCCAGCCCCCCGCTGAGCTCTGCTCCTGCTGGTTCTCCTTGACTCCCACATTGTGACCCCTCTCTGCTGGGCCATGTGGGGGTCACCGGGCAGGTCACTGCAGCCACCTGGGCTGAGCCATCCAGGGTGACCTCCTCACATGCCCCTGCCGTCCGCAGTGGACACCCCTGACCCCTACGTGGAGCTGTTCATCTCGGCCACCCCGGACAGCCGGAAGAGAACCCGGCATCTCAACAATGACGTGAACCCCGTGTGGAACGAGACCTTCGAGTTCATCCTGGACCCGAATCAGGACAACGTGTTGGAGGTGAGTGAGTTCTGGGGCGCTCTGAGGGGCCTCCCCTGCCTCTCTGCAGTGGGGGGATGAAGGCCAGCTGTGGGCTTGGGTCCGGGCCAGCTGTCGGGGCATAGAGAGGTCTGGTGGGCCGCAGGACCCCTGTGCTCCCGTCCTTTGAGGGAACATTATCTGTTCCGCTTTGCCTTTGAGCCACGCCTGGTGGTGCTCAGGGCTGACTCCTGGCTCTGCACTCAGGAATCACTATGGGATGCCGGGGATCGAACCAGGGCCAACCACATGCAAGGCAAACGCCCTCCCTGCTGTGCTGTCTCTCAGACACTAATCTATCTCATTTATTTTTTGGAGGGAGCTAGAATTGCTCAGGGCTGACTCCCGGTTCTGCACTCAGGAGTCACTCCTGGCAGTGCTTGGGGGACCCTATGGGATGATGCTGGGGATTGAACCCGGGTCGGCTGTGTGTCAGGCCAACACTCTCCCTGCTGTGCTGTCGCTGCAGCCCAAGGTGGTGGAAATCTTAGATGCTGTTTCCCAAGGCCGGTGTGCCGTCTTCTCTCTGCAGATCACGCTGATGGATGCCAACTACGTCATGGATGAGACGCTGGGGACAGCCACCTTCCCCGTCTCCTCCGTGAAAGTGGGAGAGAAGAAAGAGGTGCCTTTGGTGTTCAACCAAGTAAGTGCGTCGCTCCAATTTGGTGATGGTGAAGCCCAGGAAACTCAGACGTCTTAGCCCTTCCTTCATTCAGATGCACGTTTCATTGTTTAAAATCTCCATAAGTAGGGGCTGGAGAGATAGCACAGAGGGTAGGGCGTTTGCCTTGCACGTGGCCGACCCGGGTTCGATTCCCAGCATCCCATATGGTCCCCTGAGCACCGCCAGGGGTGATTCCTGAGTGCAGAGCCAGGAGTCAGCCCTGAGCATCGCCAGGTGTGACTCAAAAAGAAAAAAAAAAAGACTGGGATTCCTAGCTTAATCAATGGCTGAATAAATAGCAGTGCTCCTACTTTTAAAAAAAGGGGGGAGGCTGGAGTGATAGCACAGTGGTGAGGGCGTTTGCCTTGCACGCGGCCAACCCGGGTTCGATTCCCAGCATCCCACAGGGTCCCCTGAGCACCGCCAGGAGTAACTCCTGAGTGCAGAGCCAGGAGGAACCCCTGTGCATCGCCAGGTATGACCCCAAAAAAGGAAAAAATAAATAAATAAAAACTTCATAAGTAATTAAATGTCTGTGGAAACATTTCTGCTTCAGACAATTCTGAACTAATGAGGGCCGGAGTGGAGGAAGGTTGTTGCTGTCTTTGAATTTCCAGGCTGGTGTCAGTTCTGAAATGTCCATCTGCTTCTTTGCTTTGTTTTCTCTCATGGGAGGCCACATTCAACTGTGCTCAGGGCTGACTCCCGGCTCTGCACTCAGGAATCACTCCTGGCGGTGCTCAGGGGACCGTATGGGATGCCGGGGATCGAACCCGGGTGGGCCATGTACGAGGCAAGCACCCTCCCTCCAGTGCTACTTCTCCAGCTCCATTTTTGTCCCCAATCTGCTTATTGGGGGGTGGGAGGACACACCCAGGGATGCTCAGGGCTGCTCCTGGCTCTATTCAGGAGTCATTCCTGGTGCTTGGGGACCGTGGCTGGTGCTGGGGCATTGAGCTGGGGTCTGCCACGTGCTTGGCCAATGCTTTAACCTCTGGACTGTCCCTCCCATCTTTGACATTTCAGTCATGTGTTCGGCTCCAATCGAGCCCTAGAAAAGCTTGGCGGAGTGAACCTTGCACGTTGACTGTTCCAGGAAGCAGATTCACGAATTTCCACTGTGAAATGTCAGCCACAGGGCCGGGGTGCAGAGAACCGGATGGGGGAGGGGGCAGGGGGTGTTCTGATGGGGGTCACCTGGGCCGGCCTTCCGCATCCCCACCATCTGCGCCCCAGGCCCTAGCCTCAGATCTCTCCCTGCCATAGGCCCCCCTCCCGGATTCCGATTTGAAACTGGGGAGCAGAGTGGGATAAGTCAGATCAGGATGAGCGTGTGAGGGCACCTGAGTGGGCTGCTGGGCCCGGCAGAGCTCATGCCCCGTGTCTGGGCAGCGCCTTGCCGTTCTCCCACAACGCCGGCCTGGCGGTGGTGGCTGAGGCTCCCCTTCAGGCCAGCGCGGGTTTTCCCGTTCCCGTGCTGAGGAGGCGAGGTCGCGTCCCGTTGTTCTTCTGTCAGTTCCCCGATGCTCAGTGACACCAGGTTTCTCCCACGCACCTCTGACCGTTGTGTGTCTTTGGAGAGGGGGGTGTCTGTCGTGCCCCCGTGTCTGGATGGGGCTGGCCGGACTTCTCCTGTCCAACTCGGCCAGCGTTTCTCGTATCTAGATCCCGGCCCTTTTGTCAGGTGACCTGGGGACTCCTTGGGTTCTGGCTGCCGGTCCCTTTGCGGGCAGAAGCTGCTCGGTGTCCCGAGGCCCGTTTCCTGTCCACGTATCCCTGAGCAGCGTCTGTCCTGTGGAGTCTGTCCCCCTGCCCAGGGTGTGGATGCCGCATTGCTCCCCGCTGTGTGTCCTGAGAAATACGGGTGCTCTGGTGTGTCCTACCGTGTGGAATGGCCAGGCTCAGGGCCTGCCGTGGAGACACACAGCCCCCCCCCCCCCATATGCTGGGCTCTCTGGCCACCTCCTAAGGTGTGTTGGTGTGGGGTGCCGAGTCGTGCTCCCAGAGAAAGGGCTGGGATTTGGCCTGTGCTGGGCTTGAAAGGAAGGGGCCTGCAGGGGTTCAGGGGAGCCCCCAGGGTGAAGGGGAGGGTCCGTGCAGGAATGAAACGGAGGGAGGTCTCTGCAGAGGCGAGGGGAGGAGGGCCATCCAGGGATAGGGGAGACAGGACCACGCAGGGGTGGAGGGGAGGGGAGTCTTTGTAAGGGTGAAGAGGAGTAGTGTCTGTGCAGGGATGAAGGGGCCATATCAGAGTGGAGAGGATGGGGTTTTGCAAGGAAACAGACTGTGCAGGGGAGGGGGGAGGGGGCTTGCAGTGGTGGAGGGGGAGGGGCCTGTGCAGGGAAGGAGAGAGGGGGTCGTGCTGGGGTGGAAGAAGAGGTTGTGCAGGGGTTGAAAGAGAGGAGGTCGTGCAGGGGTGGAGAAGGAGGTCGTGCAGGGGTGGAGGGAGGGGGTCTTGCGGGGGGTGGGAGGAGGGTGGTGTGCAGAGATGGAGAGGGGGTCGTGCAGGGGTGGAGGGAGGGAGTCGTGCAGGGGTGGAGGGAGGGGGTCATGCAGGGGTGGAGAAAGGGGGCGTGCAGGGGTGGGGGAGGGGCCTGTGCAGGGGTGGATGGAGGGGTCGTGCAGGGGTGGGGGAGGGGCCTGTGAAGGGATGGAGGGAGGGGGTTGTGCAGGGGAGGAGGGAGGGGGTCATGCAGGGTTGGAGGAAGAGGTTGTGCAGGGGTGGAGGGAGAGGAGGTCGTGCAGGGGTGGGGGAGGAGGTTATGCAGGGGTGGAGGGAGGGGATCGTGCAGAGGTGGAGGAAGAGGTCATGCAGGAGCGGAGGGAGGGGGCTTGCAGTGGTGGACGGGGAGGGGCCTGTGCAGGGGTGGGGGAAGAGCGCATGCAGGGTTGGAGGGAGGGGCATGCAGGAGTGGAGGGAGGGAGCGTGCAGGGGTGGAGGGAGGGGGTCGTGCAGGGGTGGAGGGGGTCGGTCGTGCAGGGGTGAAGGAAGGGATTGTGCAGGGGTGGAGGAAGAGGTGCAGGGGTGGAGGGAGGAAGTCATATAGGAGTGGAGGGAGGGGTTGTGCAGGGGTGGAGGAAGAGGTTGTGCAGGGGTGGAGGGAGAGGAGGTCGTGCAGGGGTGGGGGAGGAGGTCATGCAGGGGTGGAGGGAGGGGATCGTGCAGAGGTGGAGGAAGAGGTCATGCAGGAGTGGAGGGAGGGGGCTTGCAGTGGTGGACGGGGAGGGGCCTGTGCAGGGGTGGAGGAAGAGCGCATGCAGGGTTGGAGGGGGGGCATGCAGGAGTGGAGGGAGGGAGCGTGCAGGGGTGGAGGGAGGGGGTCGTGCAGGGGTGGAGGAGGGGGTCGGTCGTGCAGGGGTGAAGGAAGGGATTGTGCAGGGGTGGAGGAAGAGGTGCAGGGGTGGAGGGAGGAAGTCATAAAGGAGTGGAGGGAGGGGTTGTGCAGGGGTGGAGGAAGGTCGTTCAGGGGTGGAGGGAGGGGGGTGTGCCGAGGTGGGGGGAGGGGACTTGTAGTGGTGGAGGGGGAGGGGGCCGTGCAGAGGTGGAGGGGGTCGTGCAGGGGAGGAGGGAAGTGGTTGTGCAGGGGTGGAGGGAGAGGGTCATGCAGGGGTGGAGGAAGAGGTGCAGCGGTGGAGGCAGGGCGTCATGCAGGGGTGGAGAAAGGGGGTTGTGCAGGGATGAAGGAAAGGGTTGTGCAGAGGAGGAGGGAGGGGCCACACAGGGGTGGAGGGAGGGGCCACGCAGGGGTGAAGAAAGGGGCCGTGCAGGGGTGGAGGAGTCACAGCTGCGGTCCAGGTGGCCCAGGAGAACGTCTCTGGCATTCACACCACTCGCTGAGCTGATCTGGCTGGTATATCCATTTTAGGTCACTGAAATGATTCTGGAAGTGTCTCTTGAAGTTTGGTAAGTCCACTTATTACTTACTTGTTTACTTTGGAGGTAAAATATCATGTGAGTTGCTGAGCTGTTCGGTTGTGAGAGGATTGGCCACTGCGCAATAAATCTGACAGCTTTGGTGTGTGGAAGTGCCTCAAAAGATTGCTTCTTGGATTTCCTCTTGCATGCCTACAACATTTGAAGAAACGGTTAATCCATCTGCTCATTGATTGGCTTAGTTTTCCTGTAGTTTGGTAATTAATAGATGTCAGGAATAGTCCTTCTGTTGATTCACTATTGGTTTGGGTGATGACACCCGGTGATGCTCAGGGGTTATTCCTGACTCTGCAGGGAAGGGGGCCACAGGGATGGGATGGGACCAGGCAGGATAGCGGGGACCAGACTCGGGTCTGCGTGTCCTGTCCACTGTCTCTCTCCAGCCCCGAGAAACAGTGGATCGCGTCTTTTCCCTCATTCTGCATCTCCGCATAGAACGGAGTGCAGGTATTTTAATTTTCTTTCTATTCTTGTTTTGGGTTTGTTTGTTTGTTTGGGGGTCACACCCAGCAGTTCTCAGGGCTGACACCTGAGTCTGTGCTCAGAGGTCACTCCTGGCCATGCTCACAGGACCAGTGTGGTGCCGGGGTGGGCCCTGGTCAGTCCCGGCTGTGTTTTCACCCCTGCCCACTCACTTTCTCCTGTTGAATCAGGTCACTCACGGCCGTGGGAGACCGCAGAGAGAGGAAATGGGAATTCTTTTCTTTCTTTGATTGTTCTCGGGCCTCACACCTGACCCTGTGCTCAAGGATCAATTCCTGTGGGCTGGGGTGAACCCTCCTGGGGTCCATACCAGGACAGGGCGCTGCCCACTGTTCTATCTCTCTGGCCCCCAGGATTTTTTTTTTCAATAAAAAGAAAAGAAATGGGACCTTGAGACTCACCGTGTCCAGTGGTCAAGGGCATCCCAGAGTCTGAGTTCTTGCTCTGGGGGGGGTCTCAGGAGTGAAGGCGCTGGCTTCCATTTCTGGGTAACGCTTGGTGCCGGGGCCGTTGGGAGTGTGCCGACCCTGCTGCCTCTTCTCCTGGGACTCCCCTGTTGCTGTGAGGTCCTCTGAGAGACGCCCACAGCGCCTGGCCTGACTCCCTGTCCCTGATACACACCTCACGTCAGCGTCACGCAGGTTGGCAGGTCTGCTCATTCCTGTTTCTCTTCTACTTCTTTTTTTTTTTTTCTTTTTGGGTCACACCCAGCGATGCACAGGGGTTCCTCCTGGCTCTGCACTCAGGAGTTACTCCTGGCGGTGCTCAGGGGACCCTATGGGATGCTGGGAATCGAACCCGGGTCAGCCACGTGCAAGGCAAACGCCCTACCCGCTGTGCTATCTCTCCAGTCCCAAGAGCCTACTTCTTTTTTCCCCAAATTTTACTTTGTGAAAATCCTGTGAGTTAGAGTCATTCTTCTCTGGGCTTTGGCTGCCGTGTTCCATCACAGGCCTGCCTCCGGGCTTGTTCCCCCCACCTGGGTTCCAGGCCCCTTCCGGAACCCCCACCAGCCCCTGCCGGCCCCCTTGACAGACACCTTCTAAGTTAGGTGATTATGGCCTGGGGCCTGTGACTTCCATACTGTACAGAGGGCAGGGGGCTTCCTTCTCTGGGGACGTCCCCGCCCTCCCGTAGGCTCCACAGGGTTGATTCCTGGGCGCAGAACCAGGAGTGACCCAGGAGCACTACTCAGTGTGGCCCAACAACCAAAACCAAAAACACAAAACAAAACAAAAAAATCCAAACGTGGCAACTTTGGTATGATTAGAAATACGTGTATTTGAAAGTGCTTTGGTTTCATGTTCTTCACTTTTTCAGTGAGTATAATATTAGGTAGAATTAGGGGGCACACGGAAAAAAATGTAAAAAACATCTACGAATGAGCATCTGTTCGTAAATCATACTTATAATGAAGTCTAATTAAACTCCACTGGTGTATGTTAAGTTACGCCTTGACTCAAAATTGGAAGTTATCTTTTAAAAGAAAGTTCAATTTCCCATGTTTTGTAGTGTGTGTGTGTGTGTATTTTTGGCCCTGGCACCCTGGTGGTGCTCAGGGTTGACTCCTGGCTCTGTGCTCAGGGCTGGACTCCTGGTGGGGCTCAAAGGACCCTATGGGATGCCACAGATTGGTCCCAGGACAAAGGCATGCAAGGCCCGCACCCTCCCTGCTGTCCTGTGGTTGTAGATCCAGAACTTTGTCTTTTATTATATACAATAAGACATTTAAATTCCTGAATCAGAGCTAATGCATCCGAGGTCCAGGAGAGGCCATTGGTGCTCAGAGACCTCCTCAGGCCGACTCAGTTCTCGCTCCTGCTCAGAGACCTCCTTGGGCCGACTCAGTTTTCCTGCTCAGAAGCTCCTTGGGCCAACTCCAGTTCTCCTGCTCAGAGATCTCAGCCAACTCAGTTCTGCTCAGAGATCTCCTCGGGCCGACTCAGTTCTTGCTCCTGCCCAGAGCCCTCCTTGGCCGACTCTGTTCTCCTGCCCAGAGGTGTCCTGGGGTGCTTGGGCGACTCTTCTCTGGCTGCTTCTGGCTTCAGGGGCTGGTGAACTCGAGCCCAGACCACCATGTGGCCCCCTCTGGGCAGAGCTGGGTTCCGCCCCAGCAATTCTGGGAGGGGCTAGACGGGTTTCCGCACCCGAGAGGTACTGGGAACTGTGTCTCGGGTGCCCTGGCCGGCTCCTGGGAGGAGTTTTGCCAGAGCTGTTGCCAGGAAGCTCCCCCCCGCCGTGAGGAGCCCAGGGTTTCCCCTCTGGCTCTCGCCACCGCAGTCTTTGGCCCACGGGACGGCCTGTCGGCTGTTGAGCCCCAGGAGACGTGCCTTGGAACATCTGCGTTTACAGAGTCTTGTCTAGGGGCTGGAGAGGTAGTGTAGTGGTTAGGACACTTGCCTTGCACGAAACAGACCTGGGTTCCATCCCCGGCACCCCACGGGGCCCCCTGAGCACAAAACCAGGAGTAGGCCTGAGCACGGCCTGTGCACACCCCCCAAAAAAGTCCTGAGTGATAGTACAGAATTAAGGGACTTGCTGTGTCAGCAGCCAAGATGGGCGTGATCCCCTCATCCCATGGGGCTCCCCTCCAGCACCACCAGGGGTGATCCCTGAGCACTGCTGGGTGTGGCCCCCAGTTTATTAATTAATTAGTTGAAGTCTTGCTCTGGGTACTCAGGGCTGCCGTGTGTGTGTGTGTGTGTGCGCGCGCGTGCATGAGTATGAGTGTGAGTGTGAAAGCGTGTGTGTACGTGTCCGTGATTGTGTGTGTTCGTGTGCGTGCATGTTCATGTGTTCATGCATGTCTTGTATGTGCGTGTATGTATGAGTGTGAGTGTATGTGCGTGTCTATGAGTGCACATGTGTGTATGCACACGTGCGTGTGTCCGTGTGTGTAAGCGCCTGTGAGCGTATGCATGTATGTGCACACGTGTGTGTGTCTGTGCGCGCACAAGCTCAGGACTCCGGGGCTCTGTGCCCACCTTCAGGATACCCCGAGGTGCCGCCTCACGGCCGCCTCCTCCCCATCTTCCCCCAGCTCGTCCCCCGACCTCCGGTTCAGCATGGCGCTGTGTGACCAGGAGAAGGCCTTCCGGCAGCAGAGGAAGGAGAACGTCCGGGCGAGCATGAGGAAGCTCCTGGGTGCAGACGGGGCCGGGGACCTGAGCTCGGCTCGCGAGGTGAGTCCGCCCTTCCCCGCCTCCTCCTCCTCCTCCTCCTCCTCTTCTTCTTCCTCCTCCTCCTCCTCTTCTTCTTCTTCTTCCTCCTCCTCTTCTTCCTCCTCCTCCTCTTCCTCCTCCTCCTCTTCCTCCTCTTCTTCCTCTTCCTCCTCCTCCTCCTCCTCCTCTTCCTCCTCCTCCTCCTCCTCTTCTTCTTCCTCCTCCTCCTCCTCTTCTTCTTCTTCCTCCTCCTCCTCTTCTTCCTCCTCCTCCTCTTCCTCCTCCTCTTCCTCCTCTTCTTCCTCTTCCTCCTCCTCCTCCTCCTCTTCCTCCTCCTCCTCCTCCTCCTCGTTTTCCTCCTCGTCCTCTTCCTCCTACTACTCTTCTTCCTCCTCCTCCTCTTCTTCTTCCTCCTCCTCCTCTTCCTCCTCTTCCTCCTCCTCCTCCTCCTCCTCTTCTTCCTCCTCCTTGTCCTCCTCCTACTACTACTCTTCTTCTTCCTCCTCCTCCTACTCATCCTCTTCCTCCTCCTCCTCTTCTTCCTCCTCCTCCTCTTCCTCCTCTTCCTCCTCCTCTTCTTCCTCCTCCTCCTCCTCCTCCTCCTCCTCTTCTTCTTCCTCCTCCTCCTCCTCCTCCTCCTCCTGTTGCCAGACCCTCTTCTTCGGGCCGGAAACAGAGGTGGAGTGCGTCCTCTTTGATTTCTTGTGTTTTGTTTGGGGGTCACACCTGGCGGTGCTCAGGGTTCCTCCTGGCTCTGTACCAGGGATCACTCCTGGGTCTCTGTGGGCTGCAAGTGTCCTCCCCACTGGACTCTGGTCCCCCAAGAATGCTTGTAACCCTCAGGTGTCAGATGTTCAGGCTTTCTGTAACTTATCTGTAACTTACTATTTTGGGTCCAGCTGAGCTGAGGTCAATGCTGGCCTCTGCCTCCCTTGTCACTGTCACTGTCACTTATCCTCCCGTTGTTCATAGATTTGCTCGAGCGGGCCCAGTAACGTCTCCATCGTGAGACTTGTTGTGACTGTGTTTGGCATCTCGAATACGTCACGGGGAGCTTGCCAGGCTTTGCCGTGCAGGTGGGATTCTCTCAGTAGCTTGCCGGGCTCTCCGAGAGGGGCGGAGGAATCGAACCCGGGTCGGCCGGGCCGGCTGCATGCAAGGCAAATGCCCTACTGCTGTGTTATCGCTCCAGTGCTATGCCTCCCTTGAGACCCCCTATGTCTTCAGGCTCTGGAGAGTCACTGGAAGTGGTTTCTTCAAATCCCTGATTTCCCACTGTTGTGGGATTCCATGAGCATCATCCGTGCGCCCGCACTTAGAGGCCAGAGACGGGGCTGGGACCGTCTGCTGAGTCCGATGTGCGTGGACCTTTCTGCTGGGGCAAGGGGATGGCATTTGGGTCTCATTTACTGGGCAGGTGCCACATTTTGGGGCTTCCTTGCTCTGAAATCAAACGTGGTCAAATCAAGTCCCCATGTGAAAGTCTGTTGTGATGCATAATCTCCTCTCTCTCTCTCTCTCTCTCTCTCTCTCTCTCTCTCTCTCTCTCCTCTCTCTCCCTCGCTGTCTCCTCCCTCTCTTCCTCTCTCCCTCCCTCACACACAGATCCTCCTCAGGACACACACGGGTCCTCCTCAGGACACATGTGTATATTTCATACATATTCAAAGTCACAACTGTGGAAAGCAGCTTCCAAGCTCTTTACTTCCTTTTCTGGAGGGAGAATTAGTGCATTTTGGGGGACATACGGGAGCTTGGGTCACGTCAGCTGGTAGGACACAGTGCCACCCTCTTGGAGACTAACCGTTGTTGAAGGGGGAGGCTAGGGGGAGGTTTGTGGCGAGCAGTTTCTGTGTCCTCTGAGTGGATGTTTCCACACATCAGTGTCTCAGTCCATGTCACCTGAGTAAGTTTTCTCTAGAGCGTGGTCAGCCTTGTTCAGTCAGTTCAGTCCGTCGTTCAGGCCTGTGTAGAACCAAGACCAAACTCTCCTAACTAGAGGGAATCTCTGAGTCTCTGGCATGAAATTGCGCCCAGGAATTGGCTCTAAGGTCTAGATTCTGAATATTTCACAATAATCACGATCGTCCTGTTCGTCGATTGCCTCGAGCAGGCACCAGTAACATCTCCTTCGCCCTAGCCCTGAGATTTTAAAAAGTGCCACATTCGAGGCTCTTTCAGCGCCAGGGGAATGAGACCCATCTTTGTTACCGGTATTTGGCATATTGGGTACGCCACAGGGAGTTTGCCAGACTCTGCCGTGTGGGCAGGTTACATTCGGTAGCCTGCCAGGTTGTCCAAAGTAGGAATGAGATAATAAGGTGACCCTCGCCTACTGGAAGTTGGAGGATCTGGGTGGAGGATGCTCAGCCCCGTTCCGAGCAGGCTTGGAGATCTCAGCCCCGGGACCCACTTGCCTTTGTTCCTCTGCTGGTACTTTCATGCGTGTGGAGAGTGGTCTCAGTATGGTGGTGGCTGGTTCTGGGGGTCTTTGACTGCTGGAGCTCTGCTTGGGGCGGGGAGCGAAACTCAACCCGGGGCAAGGGGCCCCTGGCGAGGACAGCCAGGTGCGGGGGCAGGAGACTCTGAATATTTAAGTGCATACAAATGTACCTAAACCATTAACAATACCTAAACTTAAGTTACTTTCACTAACATGTTTAAGTGGTTCATTAGTTGTACAAAGACATGGATATAAAAGCGATCCACCTACCCTTTTGGTTGTTTCTCCAAAGAACCCTGACTAATTTGGAATCAAGGAGATAAGACTTATTATCTACATTGTCAGGCCTTAAAATCTGTTAAAATTCCCCTGAGCAGGTCGCAGTCTTATTTTCAAGGGAGAATATTAGCAGTATCTGTCAACCCATCTCTCAAGATAGCTAATCAAAGCACTGTTTTTGGTAAATGATGGTTTGTTTCCTGGAGCCAGCTGAGAAGTATGAGAAGTATTCTCATTGATATCCGTCGCAATGACTTCACGCTTGTTGCTGCTCAGTCTAAATATAACCTGAAGACGCTCAACGGCATTTATTTGTTCCGCTGGCGTATACTTGGAGTCAGGGCAGGCAGCTGCACCGTGTAACCCCTCCAGTCCGAAAGTCACTTCAGAATGAGCAAGCCGAGTAAGACCTTCCCAAATCAGCCCACGTTCATCGCATAAAATTGTGCTGACCTCATCCCGGTGCCCCGTGAGCGTGACTCCATTTGGTGGCGGATGAAGTGGCGCCTCTGGACAGAGCGCTCCGAGCTCCCTCAGGAGGAGGAGGAGGAGGCCGGTCCCCAAGGCTGGCCTCAGTGGCACCAGCTGCCATCCTGGTTGTGCTCCTGACCTCTCCGGCCCTCGGTGCTGGCCCAGAGGGGCAGCTTGTGGTGGGCTCACCAGGAGGCTTGGGAGGGGGATGGGAATGAAGGGAAGCAGAGTCCCTCAGGAAGCGAATGTCAAAAAAAAAAAAACTCCCGAGTTTCCGATTGTCTGGAGAGACACACAGCATGTTCTGAGGAATTCTAATTTCTCTTTCCATTTCCTAGGTCTTAACAGTCATGCTCTGATTGGTTAGGGGCCATACCCCATGAGTTCTGGGGATCAGGAGCTGCTGACCCTGTGGGCAGGGTGCCCCCCCCCCCCACACACACACTGGGTCCCACCCACTCGGGGGCCGGGGCCTTGAAGCCAGAGTGTCAGGAGTGTCAGACGCCTCAAGGTCAGGGGTCTGCACCCCCACTGGGCCCCACCAACTCAGGGGCCGGGGCCTCGAAGCCGGAGTGTTAGGAGTGTCACTCAAGTTCAGGGGTCTGTACCCCACTGGGGCCCGCCTACTCGGGCCGAGAGAGGGAGGGAGGGAAAGAGGGAGAGTGAGAGAGAGGGAGGAGGAGCGAGAGAGACAAGAAGAGAGATGGAGAGTGGCTGTTAGAAAAGATGAAGTCATGAAATTTACATACAAGTGGTACTACATGGAAAGTATCATGTTAAGCGAAATGAGTCAGAAAGAGAGGGACAGACATAGAAAGATTGCACTCATCTGGGAAACATAAAGTAACAAAATAGGAGACTAACACCCAAGAGTGGCCGAGATAAGTACCAGGAGGTTTGCTCCATGGCTTGGAGGCCAGCCGCACACACTGGAGGAAAAGGCAGCTCAGATCGAGAAGGGAGCACCAAGTAAAGGGTGTTGGGAGGATCCTCCCAGGGTGGGAGAAGCATGCTGAAAGTAGACTATAGACCAAACATGATTGCCACCCATTGCCTCTTTTGCAAACCACAGCACCCAAAAGGAGAGAGAGAGAACAAAAGGGAGTGCCCTGCCACAGAGGCAGGGTGGGATGGGGGGTTGGAGGGTGGGAGGGCTACTGGGATCATTGGTGGTGGAGAATGGGCACTGGTGGAGGGATGGGTACTCGATCATTGTATAACTGAAACCCAAGCACAAAAATTTGTAAGTCTACAACTGTACCTCATGGTGTTTCACTAATAAAAATTCAAAAAAAAAAAAAAAGAAAAAGAGTCAGAGAAGGAGGGAGAGAGGGAGAGTGAGCAAGAGAGAAAGGTGGAGAGAGGTGGGGGGGAGGGAGGCAGAGACCCTCATACAGACCAGTGTCACCACTGTAGACCCTCTGCACCTAGGGAGCTCCTGGTGCGGGTTTCCAGAAACAACTGGGAACTTTGCTCCACCCCGACACGGTGACACCCCAGTCTGCAGCCGAGCACTGGCTTCCGGAGCCCCTCGCACACACTCCGCTTCTCTGAGCTGTTGCTACTGCGGCCGGGCCCTCGATCAGTCTGCGAGGGGCTCTCAACCCCGCCCCCGCCTGCTCGCCTGTCCCCTCTGGCCGGGAACGTTCTTTCTCTCCGAGAGCCAGACCCAGACACGCCATGCTCCGTCGACTGTGGCAGGAAGGAAAAGGGCAGGGGTCCCTGTGGCCCACGCCTGTCTGACCTGGCCTGTCTGCTTGCTCCCCAGGTGCCGGTGGTGGCCATTCTGGGCTCCGGCGGGGGCTTCCGCGCCATGGTGGGCTTCTCCGGAGTGATGAAGGCACTCTACGAGTCTGGCATCCTGGACTGCGCCACCTACGTCGCGGGTCTCTCTGGCTCCACCTGGTCAGTACGGTCTTCGCTGTCCGCTCAGCCCGGACTGTTTCGCATCTGTGCACCTCAATGCCCATAGGGAACTTGGGTAAATCGAACCTCAGCTTCAGAGGACGCTGTCGATCCATCTGAACGTAGCAATTCACCCCTTTGAACAAACAGCAGCCAAAAAGGGGGCCCGAGCGATAGCACAGCGGGGAGGGCGTTTGCCTTGCACGCGGCTGACCTGGGTTCGATCCCTGGCATCCCATAGGGTCCCCCGAGCACCTCTAGGAGTGATTCCTGAGTGCAGAGCCAGGAGTGAGCCCTGAGCATCGCCGGGTGGGACCCCCAGACCAAATGTTGTGTAGAACTGCACAATCTGTTAACGCCTGCCAGATTGTTGAGTCAATTCTGGACACGTCGGTTTCTCCTTGCAGATCTTTCTTTGCTTTTACTAAGCACATTTCTTGTGTTTCTTCTGGCTAACGAACAGCACTTGCTGAGGTATTTCTAAGCAGACAGCACGTGCTAACTCACGGGTGTGCTCTGAGTTCTGAAGCTGTTCCTTCTGAACATCTTTCTCCTGGAGAACCCTGTTGGTCTTAAGAAGGCACGTGGGCATCCGCAGCCTCTTCTTCATGGTGGCCGCCCTATTGACTGTAGATGACTGTGGACCTGAAAAGCATTTTTTTCCTTTATAATTCTATTTTTTTTTTTTTTTTGGTCCCACCTGGCGATGCTCAGGGCTGACTCCTGGCTCTGCACTCAGGAATCACTCCTGGCGGTGCTCGGGGGACCCTGTGGGATGCCAGGGATCAAACCCCAGTCAGCTGCGTGCAAGGCAAATGCCCTCCCTGCTGTGCTATCACTCTGGCCCCAAAGCATTTTTTTTTCAGGGCACCTTCATGCCCTACAGTGATTTGGATCATAAATCTATCCCTCCTTAGCGTTTGTAACTTAAAATGTGGCATAATGGCCAATAGAAACTGAGCAATAAAATCTTCCTTCATAAGCATCTGAAGAGTGGAAGTACCCTACCCACCTATAATTGAATCTCCCTACGAGATTTGCTGACTTGTAATCTCTCCACCATCATGGCCAATGCATGATTCACTGGATATTCATTTTCCTCCTTAGGGCAAATGGACAGAAATGCAAGATATCTTACTAGATAGAAGAGCAGCTTTGAAAGCAGAAGGCAATAAATTATTGGGTTGGGTTTTCCGACTTAGAAGTTAATCCTTTAAATGTACTTTAAAAGCTCAGCTAAATTTGGACACAGTTAAAACATCATTTGTATGTATAAGTTTTCCCCCTTTGTGTGTGTGTGTGTGTGTGTGGGGGGGGGGGGGTGGTGGTTTGCTCTGCACTCAGGGATCATTCCAGGTGGAACTCAGGGGACCATATAGGATACTGGGGATCGGACCTGGTTCAAAGGCCCTACCTGCCATGTTATCTCTCTGGCCCCTAAATTTTCCTTTCATAAATTTAAAAGGTATTTTAAAAGAAGAAGCTATATATATTTCGCTTTTCTTACCCAATGGAAGCACATTTAAAATGAAAAAATCAAGGGGCCCATGGGTAAAGGCATTTGCCTTGCACGAGACTGATCCAAGTTTGATCTTTGGCACCCCCATATGATTCCTTGATTCCCCAGGAGTGATTCACGAGCCCAGAACCAGGAGCCAGCCCCGAGCACAGCCAGGTGTGGCCCCAGAACCAAAAAATAAAATCAAACCCCAAGGCCTAAGTAGATGCCTCCAATCAGAGCGATCCCTGTTGCCAAAGGCACCAGTCTCATTCTACAAAACTGTGTTGAGTTCCTTCTTTCCAGAATAGAAACGTGTCTCAGCACTTGGGAGTGGTTGGCCATGGCCTGCTAGGCCTTTGCTCCCCTGCCCTGCGGTTCCCGGTCAGTCCCGGCCTTCCTCCCCACAGCTCTCGATCCTGCAGAGACCAGCAGAGACAGAGCCTTGGCATCCAGGGAGCTCTGTCATGTCATAGTAGTGCCCAGGGTCCTTCCCTGCCGGGCCCTGTCCCTAAGGAGTCCCTGTCTGGGGGGGACCTGCTGCCCCCCAGCCTGGCCCTGTGCTCCTTCCTGGGTTGGGGGGTGGGCGGTCTCCTGCAGAGAGCTGCACTCTGAGCAGCCAGAATCCGCCACCCACCCCTCTCCTTAGGCTCGAGTCAGGAACGCCGGCCCAGAGCCACAGCTCTGTTGTGGGGTCGTGCCCTGTGGGGCTGTGAGACCCTGGCTGGAGCCGCCACCCCAGCAGTGCTCAGGGCTCATCCGGGGACCATATGGGTGTCAGGGATCGAACGTGGGTCGGCCGCATGCCAGGCCAGCGCCCGCCCTGCTGTGCACTCTCCAGCCCCCCGTGTACACATTCCACACAGGCATACACATTCAACACACACACTCAGCAGGGAGAGTTTCACACGTTCTCTACATCGTCACAGCTTAGACATATATTCTAGTAGTTTCCCGAAACCATCCGTGTTCCTGAGGGCGAATGGCCTCGTGTGCTGCTGAGGAACATACAAGGAACATACAACGTGCAGACAGGAAGTGGCAGGGGACATCCTGGGTCTGTGTTTTCTGCATGGTAATGGAGGTCCGAGTGGGCTCTGTTGTGGGGTCCTCACTGCCCGGGCCTGCCTGGCACACGGCCAACCTGGCTTCAATCCCTGGCATCCCATATTGCTCCCTGAGTCCTGCCAGGAGAGATTCCTGAGAGCAGAGCCAGGCTTAAGCCCTGAGCATCGCCGGGTGGGACCCCAAAATCCGCAGCTAAAGTGTCGGTGAGCTTCTCCGGGTTGACTCACAAGCTGTAAAAGTTGCTTTCGGCTCCTCCCCACCCCACCCCGAGTCCTCCTAAGCTTTCAGAAGGGAAAGGGCAGAATCGCCCAAAAGCTCTGAGCATGGCAAAGCCCAAATGCAGACGTGAACGGGGGAGCAGAGAGATGCCTGAGACAGGACCACAGCGGCGGTCAGGGTGACTCACGTAACTCTTCTCTCTGGGGAAGACGCGGGGAGCAAGGAGGGAATTCGGGAGGACAGGCTTACGTGGTGTAAGCTTTTATAGTCGGCTGCTCCGTGGCCTCATTGTACATGAGGTAATATTGGAAATAGCAGGAGAAGCCCCGGACCCTCCCCCCAAAGGTCTCTGAGATCACAAAGAGCTTTGTGTTGGTTTGATTCTGGCCGCTGTTGTGGGGTGCACACCTGGGAGTGCTCCGGGACACTGACTGGGACCTGAACTCTCACACGCGCAAGAGGCTCTCGCTTGAGACCACGCCCCTGCTCCTGGAGAGACTTTGCTCTGCTTTGGGATGCTGGGGATTGAACCCGGGTTGGCTGCGTGCAAGGCAAACGCCCTACCCGCTGTGCTCCCTCTCCAAGCCCTGGAGAGACTTTTTAGTGAAGCCAGATGGGTTTTGTTTTGTTTGTTTGTTTGTTTTTGCTTTTTGGGTCACACCCAGCGATGCACAGGAGTTCCTCCTGGTTCATGCACTCAGGAATTACACCTGGCAGTGCTCAGGGGACCCTATGGGATGCTGGGAATCGAACCTAGGTCAGCTGTGTGCAAGGCAAACGCCCTACCCTCTGTGCTATTGCTCTAGCCCCATGCCAGTTGGTTCTTATTGAATGAAATTTACTCGAGTGGTGGTGCCATGGACAGAGTGTTCGTTGTCCACGATTGGCCTGGCTTTGATCCCGGCATCCCGTATTGCTCCGTGAGTCCTGCCAGGAGTGATTCCTGAGTGCAGAGCCAGGAGTCAGCCCTGAGCATCGCCAGGTGGGACCCCCAAAAGCCAAAAAGAAAAAAAAAAAGAACATGAGCATCTCCAGGTGGAAAAGTAGAGATGGAGCAGAAGAGGCGGCTCCGTGGAGAACCCAGGCCCAAGGAGCAGGCTGGGCTTTGTTTGTTGTCACATGGACGGACTTCAGTGTCGCCCAGTGAAGAGAGGGTCATGTGTGCACCCAGGGAGAGAATCCCCCAGGGACCCTGCTGAGCCGCAGAGCTGACATCCAGCCCCGCGCTCTGTCCAGAGGGGACGGAAGGAAGGCCACAGTTAATGTTCTTTCGTCTGTGCTTTTCTTTTTTTTTTCTTTTTTCTTTTTTTTTGCTTTTTGGGTCACACCCGGCGATGCACAGGGGTTACTCCTGGCTCTGCACTCAGGAGTGCACTCCTGGCGGTGCTCAGGGGACCCTATGGGATGCTGGGAATCGAACCTGGGTCAGCTGCGTGCAAGGCAAACGCCCTACCCACTGTGCTATTGCTCCAGCCCCATCGACAGCGTTGGTTTGTGACGTCTGGGGCTGGTTTGCATCCCACCCCCAAACTTCAGTGCCATCCAGTACCACAGAGATCTCTCCACACGTGTGTCCCCCACCCCGTTCCTTCTTGCCCCACCTCTGTTTCCACCGAGCCTGGAAGTTTGGCTGTTTCTGCCTGTTGCTGTTTGGAGTCACCCGTGTGATGGCAGGAGCTAAGGCATGTCTGGGAATTTGGTCGTTTCTCTTGCTTCTGGCTTCACTGAGCGTACTCCGCTCACGATTTTGTCCCAGTGGCCATGCTCTCATCCCTTGAATAGAGAACAGAGATTGCCTTCTGCCTGCTATCACCTTCCTTTCTGAATTCATCTTCCCCTTTTCTTTTTTACTGGGGAGCTGTACGCAGCAGAGCTCAGGGTTCGTTCCTGGCACTCTGTTCAGTGGTCACTTCTGGCCCCAGGGGACCCTTGCAGTGCCAGGGATCGAACCCGGGCCAGCTGCTTGCACTCTCTCCCTCTGGTCCCTGAAATTATGTGGGGGTGATTCTTGTGCCTGAGCCCATCAGGGACTCAGCGTGAAGGAACCAGGTGGCCTTTGCTCTCGCCCAAGACATCGCCCTCTTCTGCCCTGGCTGTGCTAGGTCTGCCAAGTGCTGGCCACCCAGCTGGGTCGCACGACCTCCTGAGGAGAAATGGGGCAGCTCTGCCCGACGGAGCACTGAGCCCTTCGTCTGGACGACGAGACGGAACTCGG